TTTATTTCATCGTATAACCAATATATTCAGAGATGTCAAATATAAAGCCCCTAGGATTTCCTGTATTAAGAGACCTTAAGATGAGTGAACAAAAGTCTTCACTCATAGGAGATTCAAGTTTTAACTAGAGAGAGATAAGAAAATAATTAAAATGTAATGTGACACTTACTGTAGTGAAAACACACCTAAGTTCTCCTGTATGGAAGCATGGTGGGAGGCTATCCACTGGTGCACATGGGAGAAATTGCATTGCCCATGTTTTGAAGCAAGATACATACATAATGTAGCAAAAGGGGAAAATGTATTTCATATACACTCTTTATATGAAAAGTATGAAATACAGCTATAGAAGACATGATGACACAAATAATTCAGGAAAACTATAAGATGCAACAGCATCTACAATCAGAAAATCGAGAAATGCATTATACTTCTCAGATATTTAATAAAAACCAGTCACTCTCTCTCTCCATATGCACACATATGCATGACATATGCATGTATGTTATATGTGTATATACATATATACTGTATATATAGGTGCATGTATACGTGTCCACATGTACATATAAACATATGCATATTAAGATGTAAATATATATTCTGATTCAGATTTAAAACTTCCAAATAGATAATTGTAAGACAAAATATTCACCCACAGAGAAATACATAGAGGCTGCTCTCAGTCTTTTTCAGCAACACTAATATTGTACAAAAAAATAAGACAGTTCTGAAAGAAGAAGGTTGTGACAGAATATGTCTTTATTTAGCTAAGATTTCTTTATATAAAAAGGCAACAAAAATATCTTCAAATCCACAAACAGATAAAAGTATGTCACTTAGTTATCCTTTATAAATAGTCTTATATAAGAACAATGATAAGTAAAAAGCAAATAATAAAGAGGAAACTGTGACTAGATATTCTAGTAAACATCAAATTCAGTTAAGCATACACAAAGACAGTTTTGAATAATCATTTTTAAAATTATATCAAAAATTATAAGTTTTTTCCTTGAAGAGAGATGATCCACATTATATTAATACAAAGCAAAATAAACAGAAGGACAGTGTTCACAACCCATTGTAGTTCATATTGAATGAACTACAACTATTCATCTGTGTGTGCAGTAACAGAATGGATCAAAGCATAGAGAATTTTCATGGAGTAGATGTCATTTCAATTTTTATGGCTCAATATTGGTTTTAGAATGTGACCATAAAAGTTTAAGCAGAAGTTGACAATACCCATTAGTAGTCTTAAATGTACCTTATCTCTCAAATTACCACAGGAAAAACTACCAAAACCCCAGGAGTAGAAAAGAAATAGTGAAGACCAAATAATATGAAAAAAGCAAGGCTAGATATAAGATTCATTGGGAAAATGTTAGGACATTAAAAAAAAATCCACTTATGAGTTGCTTATAAGGAAACCCATAAAATAAGAAATATGTTGAAAGTGAAATGTAGATATGATTTCAGCAAATGCAAATAAACAAATTATGGAAGCACAGTAAGTGTGATTGATCATATGTACTAGAAGTTTAGGTGAAAAAAATTAATTGGAATAAAAACAGTTATTTTACATCAATAAAACTACTATTTAGAAGTAAAGATGTGGTATTCATAAACCTCTATGATATTATCCAATTATGCAATTCAAATTATTAAAAATAAAAGATGAATTGTTAAGCAGTTGTCTTATGGCAGCTACCATGAACTATAAGGAAGAAGATAAAAAAATAGAATGATAATTTTGTAAAGCTATGTGACAACATGTAATAATCTTAACAACTCATATTATTTGAAATCAATAACTCTAAGTCTATCTCAGTTTAACTCTGGCTAAAAAAAATAAAGTGACAAAATAAAAAGTAATTCTAATTCTAGGAGTCTGTGAAATAATGAAATGCATGGGCAAATATTTACAAATAAATGTGTTTACTAACACCTTGTAAAAATGATAGTTAAATCATGATATGTTCATTTTACATAGCCATTAAAATTATGTATTTGACTAATTTTTAATGCCAGGAGAAAATGTTTGCAATATAGTATATTTAGTAACTCTCATAATGATTATAGCATACTTATAAACACATTATGTTGAATTATTTTTCATTTAATCCTCACAATAGCTTTATGAAGTGGGTAATATTTCCTACTTACAGATGAGGAAACTGAGGCACAAACAGGTGATGTGCTCAAGTCACCTTAGGGTAAGTGGTGAACATGTAATAGGATCCAGGCAGTCTAATGCTCCTTTCAGAAGCTGCGATATTAATAGGGCTATTATGGAAACTATGCAAGGAATATATATGGAAAGATAAAAGATTGGAAGGAAGTGCATTGAAGTATTTAACTATGATTGACTCTGTGTACATGCATAGGTTCAAAGTTTAAATTGATCATCTTTTTTATATCTTTTGTGTATTTTATAATTTAATGACAAGAAACATGCATTCTTTTGTATGACCAGAAGAGCAAATTTAAGAGCCAATGAGAACATAAAATAAAAATGAACAAAGCTATAATTTTCTATAGTTATTTATGGCTTTTGAAGAACTTTCATATTTTATATCTAATTTAATCTTGTAAATAGAATGATGCTACAATTTATTATCCAAACTATGACTTTTTTTTTTACAAAAGAGTATTATGAATATTTACACCATGAAGACAAGGCAAACAAAGATGTAGAGTCACAGTACATAAAACACTTCTGTAAGATCAACAGTGCTTAGATGTCTTAATCCATTTAGGAACTGGAAAAAAAAGTATTTAAAATACTTGATTGAATCACATAATTAAATCATCATTCCAAAAACAGGAACAAAAGAGATTTTTTTCACTTAGTCCATGGTTTTTGCCATTAAAACAAAACAAAACAAAATACAACAAAAACCTGGTGACAATTTCCTCAATGGAAGAAAGTTTTGAATCAAATAGTCTACAATCTAGGAATCCTATGATCTAGGAATATACAAAGTTTTATTTGACCTTAAAATTGTAGAGCCAATGAAATTTCTGAAACAATATTGTGCTACAAAGTCTGAGATTTACAAAAGAGAATAACTAATACTTGTGATTACAGGAAATTACAAATTCATTTAATATGTATTAGGGCCAGAATTACAAATAGTACTAGAAAAGTGACTATAAATGAAATGAGATAAGCATGTTTAGATGATAAAACACTTAACTAAATTATTAAAGAAAAGTAGTCATGGAAGGTGGCATTAAGTAAAATGGAAAATATTTTGTATTAGTTACTTGGTTAAAAAGTTGAAAACTTATTGATCAAGCTTGAGGATATTATTAAATAGACAACAGTGGGCAAATGATGTTTGCCAATGCTTTTTAACTGGTAGAATTACATGTCTGCAAAACCTAACTCTTTAGCCAATGGTGAAGAAAGGAAATAAAATCTGAGGGTACAAATGTGTGATAAGTATTATGATAAGTATTAATTATAGACCAGGGTCAGAAAAGTGGCAGTCACTTCAAAATACAATCTACAGGTGTGTCTTGTTTTTTAATAATTTTGAATTTGAAACACTTTAAGGAGATCAGCAGGCATTCAAGTCTTGACATTCCTCTGTTCCTCCCCATCCAGGCTCCCAATAGGGCCTCTGCGAGCCCTGATGATGCTTTGCTGGAAACGGGATAAAAAACACTTGCTCTAGGAACATGCAACCCCAAGGCACGTAGCTCTGTCAGAAGAGCAGGCTTGGGATTGTGGCCCCTACTTGCTACTCAAATAAAAGAAATAAATGTCTTAAGAGGTTACTGGAAAAGCCATGCAAATGAAAAAGCCATGCACATGCAAAAGAGTGGATATGGTGTGATATACAGAAAATAAGAGGATCTTAAAGTTTATGTAAACAAGATTATGCTGATGAGACTCTTGTTTACATGTTTAGGTAGACCAGAGCAAATAGTACCTGCTAAATCAATGTCATTTTAAACAATAATTTAAGTTATATACAAAGTAAAGGTATATTACTTCTATAAAGGTATATAAAGGTATATTTGAGTAAAGGTAAATTAATAGATTTCCTTTCCTTTGAGAAAAATAAATTGGATAATTGGCTAGGGGAGTATCAAAGACAAATTTCATTATCATTGACTCGCAGGTTTGAGAGGGTGAGAAAAAAGAACTACTGATTCCACATCTTTTGCCTCTGTTCTCCTTTAAGGGTGACCATTGTTATATAATAGTGCAATGCTGTAGGTGCCAATAAACCACCCAATCTATGCATTTTGTGGTATCCTGTGCTTATAAATGTCTTTCCAAGGTTTGTCTGCATCATCACACAGGCTGTGTTCTGTGGGCGTAAAGTGCTTACCTAACCTATCAGAAAGTATTAGTTAAATTAAAATTCATATTCAACAGAATACAGAAGGAAGTATTGAATGGATTATCTAAATGAGTTTGTGTTGTCATCTTCTTTCTTTGGAGTATTTTAAACAGTGCAAAGTTGTGTTTTTAAATGCCCTAAAGATAACCTGGGTGTGGTTTTATCCTACTGGGGTTATGCAATGCCTCCCTTAAGCCTTCTTTTACCTGTTAATTTATCCTAGATCCACAGGTTTTGCTCTTTCTTTTAGCTTTGTTCATATAATAATGGCATGTTATCTTTATAATGAGAGGATGAGATAGATCCATTACTGAAAAAGATATGCCCTATTAATGAGTTTCTAGCCAGCTATCAAGGTATCATCAAATGTGGTTTATCTTGGTGAATGAAAGCTTGAATGGAAAATTAAGCTCCCGCACTGACTATAGACTGTGCAATGGATCATTTTGCTCTTTAATGTTACACTTCACTGGACACACTTCACAGAGCAGTGAATCTTGCTTAAAACAAGCAGCCTTTACTTTAACGACAGATAATGCAGCAGAGGTGAATAATAAGTATTAGCAGTCTTAACTTTCTCTTGCAGTACTCTCTCCCAGGTGCCTGATGGACAATTTACAAAGTACATATGCTATTTTATAGATTGGAACTTGGGATCCAGCCAGTGGCCTGAACATGACAGAAAGTCAAAAGGGAAAACCAGCAAACATCACAGATTCCTTATCCAATCGTTCTTTGATTGTTACTACCATTTTGGTAAGTATTTGTTTTTCTATTAATTTTAGATGAATGTAGATAAACATGGAAGCGGAAAGAAAAGGACATTATAATTGGAACAGTAATGAACAGAATGTAATATATTTTACAGTTATTTAGCAATTACTGTATAACAGATGAGTCAATGTTAATTCAGTCACAGTTTTGTTAGTCTTTAATGATGTAAATTATATTAATGTGGGGGCTGTATATATTAATTAATAATACAGCTTTGTGTATTACTGGAAATCTTTTTCATTCCTACAAAATTAGCTACTATTGAAGAATTGTCAATGTCATGGACATGCAGCTACATAAATATAGTTAGGAAAGGAGCCAAACATGAACTTTGCTTCTGCTTTCATTTCCGGCAAATATGTTCGGGATGGGGGGGGCATGACATTTATTTTTCAGAATTTTTTCCATCATAATTATATTTTAATCTTGCTTTCAATTTCATTGCTTTCATCTTGGAAAATCACTCTTACTTTACTAATCTTTCTAATAAAATCAAGTGGCAAATGCTTTTTTTAGCCAGAAATATTTTTGCCACCAATAGAATTATATTAATACTTGGGAGCTAGATATTTTTACCCTCTTGTAATTATATATTTTAATTAGATTACACAGTAATGTTCACTTATGCTTACAATGCCATTTGCAAAAGGGAATTTTAATTTTAGGATAAACAAAAAGCTCTTATATTATTTAGTTGGTACTTTTTATCTACAGAATAGTTTTATCAGTGCCTATTCTTATGAATCCCCAGGTAGTTAGTAAAGAATGTGAGATTAATGTCCAGATCAAATGACCACAAACATTTAGCATTTATATACTTTCTAAATTTGATCAACAGTGGCAAATCAAGACAAGAGATATTTATATTTTTGTCCTTTTAGTAACAACAAGGAATGTCAGACCTATAGACATGTCAAAATGAAATAGCTTGGGTTAAAGGCTTTAGATGAGGAAACAAAGCTGATAATTATGCAATGACAGTGAAGGAAGTCATGAGATTTTTTTAATTACTCCCTTGCTAAGAACCTCAGTGAATGCTTGCTCCCTATGTATCACATCCAAACTTTCAAGTCCTTTAACTTAATTTTATATCTCCCTTTCTTTTCTAAGATAACTCCCATACTCACCAACCCAGCCCTGTTCTTTAATCAAAATGTTTTCACAGGGCACCAAGACATTCTCTTCCTGGTCCATCTGCCACTATGTCCTGAATCTCATTATCTTCTGCTAGGACTACTGCAATAATCACACAACTAGCCCTCTGCCTATAGCCAGCTTTTCCCCTTTGCAATGTACCCCAGTCCCTACTATAAAAATCTAATTCCGGTCCAGGCAGATGGTAATTGCTTGAACCAGGATGACAACAACAACAATAATAAAAATCTAATTCTATCATTTCTCTGCTTCTCTGTTATACAAATCTTTATAAAATCCATATTGACCATTAAACAGCCCCTAGATTTTAATATTGATGTTCGAGTTCTTACACAGTCTTGTCGTCTCCCACCTTTCTGTCTTCATTTCCCATTATTCACTTTCAGAAATCCTGTGTTTTAATTAAATTGGAATAACCAGTTAGGCCACTACTGTAATTGTGTAAGCTCTATTCCCTTTCTCTGCAATATGTTTCTCTCAATTTCTGAGATATTACAGTACCTGTCAGTTCTACATATGATTTAGACTATTATGTTATTCTTTATTTTATATGTGCATTATTTTTCCAAACATCACTAAACATTCCTTGGAGGAATACAATTTGACCTGACCATTTCTTCTGTTTTTACACCATATGTGCCTCCACAATGCTCACAGAGTAAAGAGTGCTGTGTGAATAATATCTGTAACCTTCAGTAATCTGGCCCCTACATTCCTTCTATGTTCTCCCTGATCCAGTCAAACTCCAAAATACATCACATATCTTATGGCTCCAAATCCTTGCTCAATTCTTTACATTCTCCTGTGAAAATTCTATTCATCTTTCCAGACCCATATCAAATGCTACTCACTCCATGAAATTCTCTGATCTCTTTATTTAGTTGTTTTGGCAGGGGGTAGGGAGTGGGTGCCCAGTTATGTATCATAATACTACATCATGGCACTTGCCAGGCATTTTTTTTTAATTTTAAAAAATTTGTGCATGTCTATGTCTCCATTTGACAGGAAGCTACACAAGGCCAATAATCAAATTTTATACTTATTTGATTTCTCACTGTCAGAGAAAAGTGCCTTGGGCATATCAAGGACTCAATAAATATTTGCCAAATTAAATTAAATAAATGATATTTAATTAAATGAGAAATTAGAGGAAGTACAGAACTTTCAAATGACTGTATTTAAATATTTTTCAAGTGTGCAAGTTATTATAATCATCCAGTGCAAACAAAGCAGGTGGTTAAGATTCTCCATATAATTTCTTAATTTTGCTTAATTACACAATGTTATTTTATAAGAGGAATTCAGATATTTTTCTCTATCATAAACAATTTTGCACCTATCTATAAACAACTAGCATTTAATTTAGCTTCATATCAGAGCCAGTCATAAAGCATTAATAAATATACTGCTACTCTACACATACTTCATATCATTTAAGGCAGTATTTCTGGGCTTTGAGCCTTGTACATCTTCATTTTTTAAAGTTCTGCAGGTAATTTGGATCTATAACTATGATTGAGAACTACTCTTTAGATCATTACTTCATGTAACTAAGATGTAAGATCAACTATGGTACATGCACTAAACTTACATTTTAATAAATAGGTCATTTATATTTTAGAGTATGGCAACCTACCAGTTTCTAAAAGATTCTATTATTTCCTAAAAGGATAAGATAAGCCACCTCATTTTTATATATCTTAGTTGAAAAAAAAATCTGTTTCTGAATACTCTGATCACAAAGTATCTTCAATCAAGAGAATAGATTTGAAGAGATGATGTACTTTATTTATGTAAGTCTTATGCTTGTTGTAATTTACTGGTGTTTCATTTATATTTCATGGAGAGGTTATGTTCTTTTGATTAATGTTATGGTTATTTTGTCCTTTTCTCTCTTGGAAAATCTCAGAGGAAATTCTGGCTGAGTTATGAATAATGACATTTCTTCCAAAGTCTCTATCATGTAAAGGAGACACAAAGAGAAGTTCACTGATACTTCTTGTTCAACATTTTTATTATATATCCTAAAAGAAAAAATGGTGAAGTATTCTGGAATTCAGTTTTATCCAAGAGCTAATGATAATCAGCTCTATTTCTCATGAATTCTAATCATTCATTTAATTTTATTCATTCATTCTTTTATTTCATAAACATGTATTAAATGAGCACGATATACCAGGCATTTTACTAAAAGCTATATTTGATAGACAAAATACATATCTTCTCTGCCTTTATAAAACTTAGAAAATGGCAAGCATTCATAAAGAGAACTACACACACACACACACACATACACACATACATGTGATTGGTGATTAGAATATAAGAGAAAAGTAAATGGTGTGATAAATGGTGTGATGCCTTATTTTATAGGGTGCTCCTGACTCTGACTGGGGGACAAAATGGAAGGACATGTTAGGATTCACAGCAGAGGAATAGCCAGATGAGACCCCAAGTTTGAGAAAAAATTAGCAAAGTAAAGAAAGGGGAAAGGAATATCCTAGGCAGAGAGAACAACATACACAAGGACCTGACTCAGTAAAGTTCTTGGAAATTTTGCAAAATTGAAAAAAGGCCATGTTGACTGAAGCCAATGTATTGATCAGTGTCTCAGCTTCATCCAATATGAATGCGTGAATATGGTCCATTACAAAAATAATAGCAGAAATTTATTGTAAACCTATTGTGTTCCAGACATAGTTCAAAGCCCTATACATTTATTCATTTAATTGTCATAATAATCTTTTGAAGTAGATATCACTATTCATGCCATTTTACAAGTTGGAAAGCTAATGTCTAGATTGCCTAAGCAACTCAATCATGGTCATACAAGCTAGAAAGTAGAGTAGGAGGGTTTCAACCAATCTGTTTAGTCAACTTGAGCAACTGATACTATCAAAAGAAAGTTCTAGTGGTGTACTATGGAAAAGATTAACAACTCTAGTTTATGACCCAAACAGCATCTTGGTTGAGAATTATTTACCTAAAATAGTGTTTCTCATCCAGACGTCCCACATATGCTAGAATACTGTGATGCCCCTAGGGATCTGTCCCCAACATCTAAACATTCTCTTCTAGAGACCAGTGTTTAGGCTGCTCTTGCTGGGATGTGGAGGGCCTATAGTTTCTGTCATCTCCAAATTTAGCTCTCAGCTTTCTATCATCCTCTTAAAGCCATAATTTTAGATTCTCCCAGGTAATCAAAATAGTATGGAAACTTATCTCATTTTTTCTCTTCTTAAGAATTTGGATTGTTTACAAATGTTTTCTACTCCACTTCAACATGATGACCTAGGTCTAATATACTGTATGGGTACAGTATAAAGTTATATCAGGGAGTAAATTCATTTTAGGAAGCACTAAACATTTATTTTATATGTTTAACTTTTTTAGTTTTGAATTAAGATTTATGAGATTACCAATTTGGAGATTTGTGGAACTTCATCTACAGGTCTACAACTAAAGCTGAGGTCTATTCTTGCCTCCTTTTTAATATTGTTTGTGATTCCCCCCATATTGCCTCACTGTTTTAATTTCAAGTTCAATTGTTGCTAAAATTCCCTTGCTTCTCATGTTTATCATTATTAATGGAAATAAAAATATCAATGTTAGAATGTTTTCATTTATGATGATTTCATTTATCACATAGAGATTGTTACAATATAAATTCCTAATTGCCAAAAATGCTAACAAAAATACAAAATCTGAGCAAGCTAGAGAGATTTTAAAGAATAACCTGTGTTATAGCTTCAGTTTCTAATCTGGTCCTGTTGCCATTACTGCTACGGATCCATTATCTAGGGGGAGTATCCAGTGATCGAATATTT